TCTTTTTCGCCCGGCCTTCTGCGGGGCTGGACAGCACTGACGGCGGCAGGTGCGGAGCCCGCGCCTACGCCGGCACCAGCGCCAGCACCTAGGCCAGCACCGGGGCCAGCACCGACGCCAGCATTAACGCCAGCACTGACGGGGGCGGCACCGACGCCTGTGCCTACGCCAGCACCAGCGCCAGCGCTTCAGCCAGCACCAAGGCCAGCACCGACGCCAGCACTAACGCCAGCCCTGGCGGCGGCCGCACGCTGCAGCGCCGGCGCCTGCGCCTACGCCGGCACCATCGCCAGCGCCTACGCCAGCACCAAGGCCAGCACGGCGCCAGCACTCACGCCGGCACTGGCGACGGTTGCACCGACGCCTGCGCGCCTGCGCCTACGCCGGCACCAGCGCCAGCACTTAGGCCAGCACTGGGGCCAGCACCGACGCCTGCACTAACGCCAGCACTGACGGTGGCCGCACCGACGCTTGCGCCTACGCCGGCACCAGCGCCAGCGCTTCAGCCCGCACCGAGGCCAGCACCGACGCCAGCATTAACGCCAGCACTGACAGCTGCAGCGCCGGCGCCTGCGCCTACGCCAGCACCAGCGCCAGCGCCTACGCCAGCCCTAGGCCAGCGCCGGCGCCAGCACTCACGCTAGCACTGGTGGCGGTTGCACCGACCCCTGCGCCTACGCGGGCACCAGCGCCAGCGCTTACGCCCGCACCACGGGCAGCACCGGCGCCAGCACCAACGCCAGCACTTACGGCGGCAGCACCGACGCCTGCGCCTACGCCAGCACCAGCGCCAGCGCCAGCGCCAGCACCGAGGCCAGCACCGGCGCCAGTACCAACGCCAGCACCGTCGGCGGCAGCACCGGCGACTGCGCCTACGCCGGCACCAGCGCCAACGCCTACGCTAGCACCGAGGCTAGCGCCGACGCCAGCACTCACGCCAGCACTGACGGCGGCAGCGCCGACGCCTGCGCCTACGTCGTCACCAGCGCCAGCGCCTACGCCAGCACCGAGGCCAGCACCGACGCCAGCACTAACGCCAGCAATGACGGTGGCAGCACCGACGCCTGCGCCTTCGCTGGCACCAGCGCCAGCGCTTCAGCCAGCACCAAGGCCAGCACCGGCGCCAGCATTAACGCCAGCACTGACGGCGGCCGCACCGACGCTTGCGCCTACGCCGGCACCAGCGCCAGCGCCTACGCCAGCGCCGACGCCATCACTACCGACAGCACTGAAGGCGGTTGCACCGACGCCTGCACCTACGCCAGCACCAGCGCCAGCGCCTACGCCAGCACCGAGGCCAGCTTCGACGCCAGCACTAACGCCAGCACTGACGGCGGCAGTACCGGCGCCTGCGCCTACGCTGGCACCAGCGCCAACGCCTACGCCAGCACCGACGTCAGCACTGTCGCCAGCACTACCGCCAGCAGTGGCGGCTGCAGCGCCGACGCCTGCGCCTGCGCCGGCACCAGCACCAGCGCCTACGGCAGCGCCTTCGCCAGCACCGACGCCAGCACTAACGCCAGCACTGTCGGCGACAGCACCAGCGCCTTCGCCTACGCCAGCACCAGCGCCAGCGCCTATGCCAGCACTGAGGCCAGCACCGTCGCCTGCACCAATGCCAACATTGGCTGCGGCTGCACCGGCGCCTGCGCCTATGCCGGCTACGGCGCGGGCGTCTACGCCAGCACCGACACTAGCATTGGCGCCAGCACTACCGCCAGCAGCACTAACTCTCACGCGCTATGTGGGCGACGGCTGAGGGCGGTAGTAGCGGAGAATCGCTTCAGCCGGCAACGCTGCGTTTGCCATGGCAGAAATTTAAGCTGTTGGGTCTCACCGATCCGCTCCCACCCTTCGGGCAGTGCGGCTTCCGTACTCGGTGAATCCATTTGCTTTCGGCGGTTGGCGCACCGCGTGTCAATACGGCCTGCTCGGCTCTTCTAGCCGTCCGCCCCTCCCTGAGCCCCCCCTTTGTGCTCAGGTCGCCTCTCTTGTCGCTGCCTTACTGAATGCCGGCCCTACTGCGTGGCCCCACTTTCACCCTGCGGCCGCCCGCCGAAACCTTGTCACTTCGCAAGGGCTTTGAGCCTGGGTATGGCTGCTCCGCCGATCTCCTCGGCGGCCAGACGGAGCTCACCGTCTGAGAGCGGTGCCGCACGGCCCGCGCGCGCTGGGCGGGCCCGCACACTTTCGGGCCCCCTCGCGCACGCGCGCCGCGGCCGCCGCCCGGAGACTGCTCGCTTGCGCCGATGCGGGAGAATGCACACTCTTATTCTCCAGCCTCTCGCGCCCTAGCAGTCTCTGCAGCTTCTCGGCCCCCCACCTCTCCCCCCCTCCTTTCACAAGGCTGACCTGCGGCGCTGCTCCGCCGATCTCCTCGGCGGCCAGACGGAGCTCACCGTCTGAGAGCGGTGCCGCACGGCCCGCGCGCGCTGGGCGGGCCCGCACACTTTCGGGCCCCCTCGCGCACGCGCGCCGCGGCCGCCGCCCGGAGACTGCTCGCTTGCGCCGATGCGGGAGAATCATCATCATCTTCAGCACCATCATCATCACCAGCATCATCACCATCATCAACAACATCATCATCATCGTCATCATCGTCATCATCATTATCATCATCATCATCATCATCATCATCATCATCATCATCATCATCATCATCATCATCATCATCATCATCATCATCATCATCATCATCATCGTCGGGACACCGACGGGACACCGACGGGACACGGGCGGGACACTGGCGGGACACCGCGGGCCCCCAGACGCCCGGACGGCAATCATTTTGGTCCGGCCGCGCCTCAGCCACACGGGACCCCAGCGGGACACCGGGCGGGACACCGCGGGCCCCACGGCAATCGTTTGGTCCGGCCGCGCCTCAGCCACAGGAGACTTTCTCTCGCCCGCCCACGCAGCTTCGCCTCGCCCGCACGCACGGCACGCACGAACACGAAACCGAAATCGATTTCCCGGTGGGGGGGCTCTCCGTTCCACTTCGATCTCACCCCCAACTTCCGATATATGTATCGAAGCATACACACACCTCTATATATACATATATATATGTATTCACACAAATGTATATACATGTATGTGTATATACATGGTCGGGAACTCTTGGGTGGCGTGCCGCTCCGCCGGTTCTGGCCCAGCACGCTTCGGCGCGACACGCGATCCACCGCCTGGTCCCAAGGCGTTCACGTCCTGAGCCTTTTCCGAGCGCCGCGCAGACGGAGCGACGCGCGATCCTCTTGCAGGGCACAGCGTGTCGCAGCGGCCACCGCCGCGACACGCTGAGCAACAGCGTCCGACCGCATGGTCTTGAGAAAGACGTGGGGTGGTCCAAATGTGTATTGGTTCCTCCAGCGAGGGTCTGGCACGCCTCTCGGCATTCGCCCAAAGCTGTCTAGGCCAAGGAATGAGCGTGAAGCACCTGCCACTCGTCAGCCTGGCTCGCCTGCGAAAATAGGCTCTTGAGATGTTTTTTCTCTCGTGAGTGACGTGCGCTGAGGGGCAGGTCCCCGCAAACACACAGTAATTATTTCGCAGAACATGTGTGTTTGTGATGACGGCATGGCCCATCATTATCACGCGCGTTGCTTGGCAACTGCAGCGCGCGGTAAGACTTGACGAGTTGGCCGCCATTTGGCGCGATGAATCCTGCACGGTCGAGACAACGATAGTGAATCGAATTAGAAACATTGCACTAACATGCGCAATCCTACACGGCCCCCCTGGCGGCGCCTCCAGCGCTGCCGGTGTCCAGCCCGGTTCCAAGACGTTCTGGCTGACTTCCATGGATGTTTATGCATATTTTGATTCTCAAGTGAAGAAGCCACAAACTAGATGCCCTGCAATTGGGCCCAGCAGAGGCATCCCGCCCTGGGCAAGACTTGATCATTCTCATCTCATGCCGGGGGCTATGACTCGCTGCACTTCGGCTCGGGCTGCCGCTCACGGACTGGAGACGGATCGCAGTGTGTTGCAGCGGGCGAGGGGCTTACAGTGGAGGCTGGTGCAGCTGGGGCCCAGCTGTGGGCGCACTCCAAGGCGGCATCGGGCTGCACTTTTTACGTCGCAGCGCGGCAGAGGCAGGCCGCGCGCGCGTTCAGCAGGCCAGGCAGCGGGCCACACGCGCTGCTCAAAGACGACGGAAATTACAGTTTGCCAGCCTTGTGCCTGTGTTCACGTACAGTTCCATGTGTTCAAGAGCAGGGAGCGCGAAGGGGGGCGGAGCTCAGGAGGGGAGGGGAAGGGAGCTGATGGGAGGAAGGGGCAGCATAGGGAGGACTGAGAGGAAGGGGGAGGAGTAAAAGAGAGCGAGGGCCGAAGGGCGAAACGGGAGGGCTGGCGAAGAGCGAAAGAGAAGGAAACTTCGGCAGGCAGGCGGGAGCGGCATCACCGTCGTCGAGATTTTAGCGACTCCTTCGTCCCTCGACTCACGCTGGAGTTCCCAGGACCTCTGCAGGTAGATCTGGAGATCCTTAGACGTGCGTCGATCTATCCATCGTCTTCCTTTTAATTGCGTCGATGTGCCTCGAGGCCTCCAGAACGGGGTGCCAATCTTCTGCGTCGGAGGATCGCGCCGCATCGGCGATGCATCGCCGACGTCGGCATTGCATTGGATCGGCGATGTATTGGCGCCGCCTGCGTGGAGAACACCCGGCTCTACATCGAGACGCATCGCTCTTTGATGCATCGGCGATGCGGCGCGATCCTCCGACCCTGGTGTGCTCAGCCTCGTCCACGCAGGCTGGTTGGAGAAGGGCCGTGCAGCCCTTGAGGGTGCCAGTCCTGGACCAGCCGCGCCGGCGCGCGCTCCAGCCGGCTGCACGTAAGAGTGACTCTTCGCCAGAGTGACCTTTTCTCGCGGGCCGAGCGCGATGCGACTGTTGCGCCCTGCGCGCTTGTGTTTGGCCCCCCCCCGCGGCTCCCAAGAGGCCGCGCACCGAAGGTCACTCTTACCCAGGGTCGCTCGTTGCGAGTGGCCGATGCAGGCAGCCAGTGGCCAGACGAGCTCTTCCGCCCGTCGTTCCTGGCGTGCCACGCGGCGCTGGACGCAGAGGCACGCGCGCGGCGCGCGGATCCGCGTGCGGAGGGGCGCAGTGGTGCGGTGGTCTCGTGGCGTGTCGACACGGTGGCACATGCACCGCGGGCGAGGTTCGTCGCCACCAGCGGCCAGTCGTCCAGCAGGGAGCGATCTGCGCCTTCGGAGAGCCGCGGTCGTTCAAGGTGGAGGAGGAGGCGGAGGAGGAGGAGGTGGAGGAGGAGGAGGATGGAGGAGGTGGAGGAGGAGGAGGATGGAGGTGGAGGAGGAGGAGGAAGAGGAGGAGGGGGAGGAGGAGGAGGAGGAGGAGGAGGAGGAGGAGGAGGAGAAGGAGGAAGGAGGAGGAGGAGGAGCAGGAGGAGGATGGGCGAGGAGGGGAGGAGGAGGAGGGGGACGAGGAGGAGGACGAGGAGGAGGAGGAGGAGGAGGAGGAGGGGGACGAGGAGGAGGAGGAGGAGGCGGAGGAGGAGGAGGAGGTGGGACGATCCTCGCGGTGTCAGGAGCCAGGGCGCAGGTCATTACGGCACGAACCTGCCGCAGAGGCGTCCGCGCGAGCGCGGCAGGTTTTTGGTGCGTGGGCCTTGGGCCACTTGCGAGCCTTACCGTGTGCACATCGAACAGGAAAGATGTGTTCCAGCAGGTACCTCGGGGGTGGACAGAAACCCACCCTGACACGTCGATTAGTGTATTGTCCGTTGTCGGTTCTCGAGAGGGCGCCGCGGCCGTCATTTTCCAGGCTTGCGCACGCCAGGTTTGGGCCCGAGGTGGTTTTCACTAAACCACGTTTTACTCAAGGGGGCTCTGTCCATCCCCGAGTACCCCCCCCGACATGTCTTATCCCCCCCGATGGCCCCAGGGGGACCCCCAGAAGTTCCGGGGTACCCCAGGCCGCAGGACCCTCAACGATCGACGAAGACCGTGCCCCAGGATTGCTCCGAGCAAGATGCCCCACCGTGCGTGCACTCTGCAGTAGGGCTTCCGCGGCAGGGCGGTGCTGTTCCAGGGGCAGGGGCATCCGTGCTCACTTGCGAAGTCCGCCCCTGCTGGTCCAGGATGGGGTCGGAGGATCGCGCCGCATGGCCGATGCAGCTGCGATGCGGCTCCACGCGGAGCCGATTTTCTCCACGCCGACCGCTGCATCGCCGATGTCTCGGCGCTGCGGCGCGTTCCTCTCACCCCTGCTGGGGTTCACCCGGGGCTGCAGGCATCCTTCAGGGGTAGGCTTCACATGTGGGCGCCTGTTCGTCGGGGGGGGGGGGGGGGGGGGGGGCAAAAAAAGAACAAGGCGAGGTATTCGCAGTGTTCTGGTTCTGCAGCCGTTTTCTGTCTGGCTGCGCGACTGCCAACACAAAGCGACCCAGGACGTCGAGACACGTCCAGGGGCCAGGGACCTGAAAATACATGGCCAGGGGCAAGGCTGGTGGCCAACAGCAGCGCTGAGGCTCTGAGATGCAGTGCTGAAGCTGATTCGGCGCCTGCGGCGGGCTTCTGTCTCGGTTTGAAAAGCCCCAAATACAGGGCACGCCTTCCCGCAATTGTGATCCGCGTCTGCGCGTCGAAGTGGCACGTTGATGCGTGTATGGCCAGCGTCGCAGTGCCGGCATATTCGCATGTGTGCCTGGCTGCCTGCGCGATTGTTTGCATGGCTGTTCGCATGGGTGTTTAGTGTTTAGACACTCGTGTGCCTGCACGGCTGCGCGCGGCATTGCAAGATGTATTCATCTCGCGCGGTCGTGCTCGCTTTCTTTCCTTCCAGCTTGATTGCGCGTGTGCTTGAAACATTGCTTTCTGGCATGCTTCGCTTACCTGCACGTGTGCTCGTAAGTGTTTCGATTTTGTGTCCAGACTGATGTCCCGCCCATGACAAATCGTAGCCAGCGCTGTGAGAACGAATGATGCAGCATCCATACAGCAGGATGACATTAGGCCCAACCTTGAGGGCCAGGGGCGATGCCAGAATACCTTTCTGATGGCAAAAGGAAGGGGATCACATACATTGGCGACGCCTTCACCACATCTTCGGGGAAGAGAGCGCGAGAACGGGCGTTTGGTGAGGGGTGCCGCACGATCCGGCAGTTCCTTGGCATTGGCCGACCCCGAGCATTTCCGATGCTCCTGGGCGGCGACTTGTTCTCTGTCCACGAACTTCGGATCATCGGGAGCGATCTTGGCGGCCATCTTGGGCTCTCTGGGGCCCTCTGGGGGCCACCCGGGGCCAAAAGGGCCCTCTGACACCTCGGGGGTTTGGTGCCGGGGGGGGGTCCAGATCCAGGGGGGCAGGGGGGCTGAGGGGAGGGGGGAGACCTCTTTCCCGAAGGGGAAGGAGGGGGGTAGACGAGCTCCCTCGACCACTCACGCCCAGAGGGGCTGGTGGGATTCAGGTGCTCCTGGTCGGCGACCGCTTCTCCGTCCACGAGCTTCGGCTCGGCGGTGCGCTGGGCGCCGACGAGCCGCTGCCTGCGGTGCGGCCGGTCCTGCGCGGGTGCCGCCTGGGGGCTGCCAGGGGGGGAGCGTTCGCGCGAAGGGAGTCCCGCGGGCTGGGTCTGCGCTGAGCCTGGTTGATCCACGCCCGAGGTCACAAGCCGTTGGAACCGGATCGGCCATGTTGTCGGAGGGGCTTGGTGTCGAATGCCCTACCATTGTTTCTCGTTCATCCCTCCCCAGCCCATGGCCGCTGAAGGGTCGTCTCGAGCGCTGCTCGCCTGGTGCACGGTCGATGACGTCCAGGGTTGGTTTTCAGGAGGTCTTTTCGTAGAAATACTTCGCTGGCTGCTCATACGTTGGATAGACGGTCGGCTGCACTTCGCTACAAAATGGTATGGCATCGGCATCAAGCTGTCACACCACGGGCTTCCAAATCGAACCACCTTGTGGCTCGTACATGAGCGTCTGCTGCGACCCTCCGAAGCAGGTCAAGCAGGGCTTCTAGGTCACTGCAGCGAATGCTCTGTTCGCCGAGAAATTTACCTCGTGTGGCGGGGTACTCCAGATTTCGTAGTAAAGGGAGGGGGGTCTCATTTCGCCGGGGGGGTCTCTTCCAGGTTATCTTGGAGGGCCTGGGGAGTCTGGGGACGATGTTTTGGAGGGTTCTCCCACGGGGGAGGTCTGAAATGGCTTGTCTTGGGGGGACCAGACCCCCTCCCTTTCATTACGAAATCTGGAGTACCCTGGTGCAGTCCGCTCTATCACGTCCTCTTCCCTTCGACCATTCCGTCGTTGTCCCCACCTACCCGTCCACCAGCTATGCTTCTTCCCCGATTTGCCCTCCACCTCTGCCCCTCCCTTCCCTCCCTGGCGGGCCCCAGGGGGGAGTGAAGGAAGAGCAGGAGGAGGAGGAGGAGGAGGAGGAGGAGGAGGACGAGGACGAGGAGGAGGAGGAGGAGAAGGAGGAGGAGGAGGAGAAGGAGGAGGAAGAGGAGGAGGAGGAGGAGCAAGGAGGAGGAGGAGGAGGAGGAGGATTGTCCCGGCTGTCGTTTAAGGCACGGGTAAATTGTTACCGGTTCGTGCCCTAACAAAAGGGAGCATGACTTGTTCAACTACATGGCAATGTGAATCTCTCTACTGATGTTCGTACTCTCCCCATTGCACTGTACTTCTTTTCTCCCGCACACTCTGCAATGTTTGCAACGTGCTACATGGCGTGATACAACTGCATTGTTGGCAATGCTCAACAAGAGTGTCAACATGATGCTACCATTGTGACGGGGGGGAGGGGCGGAGCCCGTGGGGGGCCCCAGGGGCGCTCGAAGAACGCCGAACCACCTCCCGGGACCCTTCTCCTCCGGGCTGTTTCCGCTTCCGTCTCCGGCAGCCCCTGCGAGGCCGCGGCCCGGCAGGGCTCCTTTTTCGACACGCCTCTGGCTCGACTCGCTTCGCCTTCGGTGGCCTCCGATTCCGATTCAATTTGGCTTCGGATCTCGACTCGGGCTCCGATCCCTCACCCGAGGCCCACCAGCCTGCCGATTTCCACCGAGTCGACTCCTCCCGAATCGACACCCGATCTCCAGTTCGCTCTCCGGTTCGATGCGATTCGATCCGAATTCGTTGCCGATCGGTTTTCGACATTCCTGCGGTTCGATTCGATTCGCCTTCGATGGCCTCCGATTCCGATTCTATTCGGCTTCGGATCTCGACTCGGGCTCCGGTTCCTCACCTGCCGATCTCAGGAGTCGACTCCTGCAGAAAATCGGCTGCCACTCCCGCCGATGCGATTCCTTTCGATCGCCGAGCCCACGTCTCGATGCGCTGTCGGGCTCTCCTGGCCCCGCCCGCTCCGATCCGAGAGGGCCCGGGCTGTGGTTTCTCGCACGGGCGCCTCCGCTCCGCTCCGCTTCCTCCCGCGCTCCTCCAGCCGCGGCCAGGTGGGTCGCCTTCAGTCTTCTCGAGCAGCTGCGGAGCGTCCTGGCTGACCTGGAGGCCCACCAAAGAATGTTCCAAGAACCTTTTGTGGTCTGCACGAGATGTTCTCAGAAAATGTCTGGCTGAGACTGCCATGTTCCCGGAAAGGGCTCCGGCCCAGGGTTCTCTTTTACTATGTAAACATGTCCCCCGGTGCCAACTTGAAGGAGGCCGGCGGATTTTTTCCCTGATAAATATCGAGGTCGAAGGAGGCCGGCGGATTAAAATTTGAGGATGTCTCGAGCGAAACGCTTGTTTTTGAAATCCCGATCGATAAATCACAGGGTGCGGGCCACTTTTTCGTGCGTTGAGGATGTCTCGAGCGAAACGCTTGCTCCGCAGAGTTTGCCGAGGATGTCTCGAGCGAAACGCTTGTTTTGCAGAGCCGACCGCGACGCGGAAAAGCGCCCCGCGCGAAGGAATTTCGATGATGTCTCGACTAATTCGTTTGTTTTTGTACGATTTCCTGGAATTTTGGCAGGATGTCTCGAGCGAAATGCACGACCCCACCCTAGCACGACCATACCCCAGCACGACCACACCCCAGCACGACCAGACCCCAGCACGACCCCACCCCAGCACGACCCCACCCCAGCACGACCATACCCCAGCACGACCACACCCCAGCACGACCACCCCAGCAAGACCACACCCCAGCACGACCACACCCCAGCACGACCTCACCACCAGCACGACCACGCCCCAGCACGACCACGCCCCAGCACGACCACGCCCCAGCACGACCACCCCCCACGACCACGCACGACCACCCCCCAGCACGACCACCCCCCAGCACGACCACACCCCAGCACGACCACTCCCCAGCACGACCACACCCCAGCACGACCACACCCCAGCACGACCACACCCAGTCGCACCCCCGCACCTGACTTGGAATGTTTCGTGGCGTGTTCCTGTTCGTGGGGTGTCTCGTGGAATGTTTCACGGGGTGTCTCGTGGAATGTTTCGTGAGGTGTCTCGTGGAATGTTTCGTGAGGTGTCTCGTGGGATGTTTCGCGGGGTGTCTCGTGGGATGTTTCGTGAGATGTCGCCCAGTTGGGTATCGTGAAAACGTGACCATGCTGCACATGTCTTTATCCCTTTCCGGGTTCGTGGGTCCATCATGTTTTTTAGCACATCGGGCTTTGTACTGAGAACACTTATTTGGTTATTAGAACATGTGTGAGCTCTAAGAACAAGTCATGGTAGGTCTATAGGAATGTCGTGACGGTCGGTCCCTGCTCAACCTTCCCCTTCCAGGCTGGTCCGCCATTCACGTTGCATATTCGGAGGTTTTTTCTTGCGTCCTCAGAGAACTGATGGTTTTCCCTTGTGCCCGACGCGGGTTCGACGCGGATCTGCCGTGGATTTGACACAGATTCGATGTCTGTTCGACGCGGACAGCGGGCGGGATGGGACATAGAAGGTCCCGCGCAGAACGCTCTTCCCCTTCTAGCTGTCCCGCTCACGCTCCTCGCCGTGAAGCCTCGGGGTCCTGAGGGAATCGGGCCTGCCTTGAGCCTTCTCGGCCGATTTGGGCTACGGCTCCCAGGGCCCCAGGAATGTCAAGAAGAGGTTCGGGACGAACCAGTCTGAAGTCGGGCATGTCCCTCCACAGGAGGAGTATTCAAACATGGCATAAACAAGGGTAGTCCGGGGACGACTTCTTTTCACTTGTTTTTTTTCTGCTGCTTCGACTATTGTCGATTTGTCCCTCCGAGATCCGCCTGTCGGAGGACACGCCCGACGTAAAGCCGGTCCCGGGGGAAGGCCTCGGATCCAGGACGTGTGTCCCCCGAGGAGTGCGGCGGCGCAGGAGGAGGAGGAGGAGGAGGAGGAGGAGGAGGAGGAGGAGGAGGAGGAGGAGGAGGAGGGAGGAGGGAGGAAGGAGGAGGGAGGAGAAGGGAGGAGGAGGGAGGAGGAGGAGGAGGAGGACCTACGACCCGTCTCCGTCGTGCCAGCGTCTGTGCGCCCCCAGCCAGCCAGGGCCCATTTCGATCCGACCGGTCCGATTCGATGTCGCCTCCAGCCAGCTCGACTCGACTCGACTCGACTCCGCTCCGATGTCCATCGATTCGCTTCGATATCGATCGATTCGAGTCGATACCAATTCCGATTCGACTCGATCTCGATCGATTCGACACCGAATCGATCCGATTCGGTATCGACCGATCCGGTCCGGCTCGATCCCGGCATCTCTTGACGATCCGGTGCGGCCCGACGCTCGTGCTGCCCTGCTGCGCATCCTGGCGCAGTCGATACGGTTGCAGTGCGCCTGCGTGCCCGTGCCTCGGGGGCCCCCAAACGGTGCGGTGACCACACCGCGCGGTGAGTCGGTGGGGATTCGGGGTCACCGCACGCTTTAGGGACTCGGGTCGTTCTCCGAGGACGTCTCGGGCGACAGGGGCCTCCGAGGTCCCAAAACCGTGCGGTGACGGACCGTGCGGTGAGGTCTTGGGGGATTTTCGAGGTCACCGCACGGTCCGTCACCGCACCGTTTCGGGACTCCAAAGTGCCGCCCGATGCGGCGCACGCACCGATGCGACCCGCGTGCCCGATGCGGAGTGCCGGCTGACCTTGCTCTCGGTGGGGCGCGGCCCGCGAGGTGCCTGTCCGGCGCGCCCGAGTTCCACGCGGGCGGCGTCAGGTCGGACGAGGAGGAGGAGGAGGAGGAGGAGAAGGAAGGAAGAGGGAGGAGGAAGGAGGAGGGAGGAGAAGGGAGTATGAGGAGGAGAAGGAGGAGGAAGAGGAGGAGGAGGAGGGGGAGAAGGAGAAGCGGCACCGCCAACTCTAGCGGCCACCTTCAGCGGACCAGCACGGGTCGGCGATGCCTTCCCAAGCTCGAGGCCAGACAAGCCAGATTCTCGAGGCCACGGCCTCACCCACCTGGTCTGAGCCAGGCCAGACACTGTCCGAAAGGGTGGGCGCATCGCGTCGCATTCCCGAGCTCGAGATTGAAGGTGTCTCGGGGGGGCGGCGCGCAACCGCGGGACCACACCAGAAGGACTCTCCCTGCGAAGAAGTGGCAGTTGCGTACAAACGTGCACTTTCGGAGGTCTCGTGGCCGCAAGACATTCCCGCATCCGCGGCCCCGCGGGCCGGGCCCCATGGGCCACGACCCCGCGGATGCGGGGGCACCTTCGCGGATGCCCCGCGCGGAACGCGTCCGCGCGACCGCGCCTCCGCGGGGTCGCGCCTCAGTTCCAGACCGCGATGGCGCGGATACGGACGCGTTCGCCGCGCAGGAAGGTCCGCGCGGATCTCGTGGATCTGCGCCGGGCCCCACCTGGCGCGCTGCGCGGTCCAGGGAGGGAGGGGGGGCCCAGCGCCATCCTGGACAGGCCGCGCGGACTTCGGGAATCTCGGTTGCACGCAGTAAGAGTGGCTTCTTCGACGGAGTGACCTCTTGAGCAGGCCCACAGGATCTGGGCTTCCCAGATGTGGTCCAGGCGGATGGTGCCCGAGGATCGCGCTGCATCGCCGATGCCTCGGCGATGCGGCTCGATGCGGAGCCCGCTCTTCTCCGCGCCGACGTCGCCGATGCATCGGCGACGTCGCTGGTGCATCGCCGATGCGGGTGGTGATGCATCGACGATGCGGCGCGACCCCCCGACCCCGTGTGCCAAGGGCGCCCTCGAGGGCGCGAAATTATTCGCGCTTCGCGGTTCGGCTCCGATCCCTCATCCTCCTCTTCTCCCCTGAGAGGCGGCGCGAGAGCGCGAAGTTCTTCGCACTTCGCGCTCCGCGCAGCGCGGAGCGAAGTCGGGAGCCCCTGGTGTGCACGGACCCCCCGTAGGAGGCCTCTACATAGGCGCCCCCCGCACTGCCTGGCGCGCTGGGACTGCGCCGAGCTGGCCTCCCCTGCGGCCCCCCGCAGGCCCGGGGCCACCTCCTGCCCTGCCCGGGGCCACTCCCGCGCACAGCCGGAGCTCGGGGAGCTCATGCTCGTGCAGCTGCCTCCGCGCTGCGCGGGGGGGCAGCGTATCCGACTGAGTCGGGCGCCTCTTCGGGGCGCCTGCGGCAGCGCTTGTCGCCCGATCCTGGTCGTCAAAAGAAGCATGCGTCTGCGTCTCGTTTCCGGCTCCTCGCGGTCGGTGGGGCCTTCGGGGGAAGAATGGTCAGGACAAAATTGGGCAGCCTTTGAAATGTAGAGCTGCCCGAAGCACCCCCAGAGGAAGGCGTCCGCCCTTCGCCCGCGGTCTACATTTCAAGGTCCTTCAGGCCAGGGTCTGCATATCGGGGCGCTCAGGTCCCGCGAGGGCCGACATGTCAGGGCCTGGTTGGTCGGGGTCTACGTTTGAGGCTCCTCGCGCGGGTCTACGTTCTGAGGCCCTGCTCGTGGGTCTCCATTCGGGGTGCCGTTAGCGCTTCGCAGAAAAATGAGTGCATCTATCGATGACGCGCCGTTGCTGGAAGCCCGTCGGCGTGCTCCTCCAGCGCTTCTGCCCATCGCAGGCGTTCAATTGGAAGCCTGCGTACTTGCGCGAGTCTTATGCGGAGGCCTTGTGCGGGGGACCTTGTGCGCCTTGTGCGGCGCTCGTGCGCTTACCTTTGGGGTTGGATCCGCGCGCGCGCGTGCAGATGCAGGAGGAGGAGGAGGAGGAGGCGCATGAGCAACAAATTTGGTAAGGACGAGGGGGCGACGACAGCAACGATGATGGAGCACGCTGATGGGTGCCCCACGACGTGCCAGTGATACTTTCACGTGCCATTGAGTGATACTGTCCTTCGTCGTCCTCCTCCTCCTCCTCCTCCTCTTCCTCCTCCTCCTCCGTTGCGTCCTTACTTTGCTGGCCGAGCCATCGGGGATGCCCACACAACGCCTGTCCTTTCTCACTCCTCTTCCATGTCATCTTCCTCTTCCTTCCTTTGTCCTCCTCCCCCCTCCCTCCTCTCGCAACTGCACTGTCGAGTTGTTGCTCAGGCCACGGTTCACAGTGAGCTTGCTTGTTGCAGGTCGGCTTGTGTGGTGTTCCCGCTTGGCTCAGCGACCTTGTGATTCGCGATGTGGTTGTGTCACCCGTGGTGTGTTGTGTGGGAAACAAACCGTGGACACGCTAACAGCGATGTTGGTAACGCCGATGTACGTTTCGACAATGTAGGTGGGGGTGGTTCGTGGACAACCCCATTCTAGGAAAGCGTTGTTCGCGTTTTCCTTTTCCTACTCTTCGCCGTGCCGTTGTTGCTCGATACATTCGCGCACTTGAAACGTAGGAGAGTGTGGCCCATGATTTCCTACAATTTGTTCTGCGCGAGCTTGGCGTTGCAGAGGCCAGAATCCCAGCATCGCCGTTGACCAACATCGCCGTAAGCGTGGCCTTCATCTGTCTTGTTGGCGCCCACTCCAGCGGTGGTGCCGATGTGTACTTCTGCTCCCAGCCAGGGGGCTCGCCCTGGACTGCGCGCCGGCGCCCGGGCTGGGCGTGCCCGCGGCCGCCGTGGGCGCGGTGGCGGAGGCGGACGCCGCGGGGGGGGGGCCCGTCAGATCAGTCCACCGTTGCGGGCAGTGGGGCGAGGGGAGCAGCTCGAGGATGCAGAGGGGTAGAGGAGCAACCGTCATCAAACAAGGTTAAAAAGCATATATAAACATATATATGCGTAAGAATTGGCATGCCTAGATGTTGGACGGTTGGTCTCGATGGCGAAGTAAGAACGTCAACGGTGAAGCCAGAGTGTCAGTAGTTACATACACCACGTAAATACACGAGGTACATGGACATGCACAACGTAAATACATGATGTAAGTCGCGTGGTGGCTGACATTCACAACACGTAAGTACAAGTCATACACACGCACTGCGTACAGACGCAGCGTACATCGACGACCTGCGCCGTATACGCACTTAGTGTATATCGAAGTCTCGAATCCACTGTCAGGGCGAAGCCTCTCTCTCTCTCTCTCTCAATCTCCATCTATATATATATATATATATATGTATATATGTATACGTATATACGTGTACATATATATATGTATATATATATATATATATGCATCTATGATTTGGTGTTCGGCGTCGTTGCTCACGCCACGGGGGCTAGCGCTAACAAAGCTGAGCCGATCCCCTCTGGCTGACCGTGTTTGGGGAGCCGCGTGTGCTGGGGGTTCAGAAATGGGGTCCCGAGGGATGGGGGACTACGGATCGCATGGGATCCAAGGGTGCACGCACGCTGTTTGAGGCACCTCGCCCTTGGGACCCCACCCTTCAGGCCTCCATCTTTGAACCACTGGGCGGGACCGATTCCCCCTGGCTGCCCTCCGCTGACCCTGGCCTGGGAGCTGCTGAGCGGCCGGCCCTCGCTTCGCGACCGGACCCGGGATGACCTGGGCCGGAGTGTGCGCTGGCCCAGGGCAGTGCGTCTCCGAGGGCCTTCGGTGGACGGGGGGGGGGGTGCAAGCCTGACCGCAAACCCAGGCACGCAGCCCGCTGCTGTCGCACCGCACGCATCTAGGCCTCCTGCATTCGGGGGCGGTCACGAGAGGGTGATGACAAGCAGGGGCTGGACATCATGGCGGGGGCCATGATATCTCCCCACATTTCATGGCGCCTCTTCTCATTTCATTATGTCCCTGCCCCCCCCTGGGCCGCGCCCATGCCGCAGGCCATGATGTGCGCCGCCCCTCTTGGACGCCCCCCTCTTGGCCGACCCCGATAGATGGGGTCCGAGTAGACGGGGTCGGAGGATCGCGCCGCATCGCCGATGCATCGACGATGCGGCTCGATGTGGAGCCCGTGTTTCCCCGTGCCGCCGCCGCCGATGCATCGCCGACGTCGACGATGCATCGCCGATGCATCGCCGATACGGCGGCGATGCATTGGCGATGCGGCGCGATCCCTCGACCACACCTATTTGGAACCCATCCAACAGGCCTCCAACGCAAGGCTCGGCAAGCCGCGCGCCACGGCTTGCTCTTGCCCAGGGTCGGCTCCCGCGCGTGGCCAGCCCGGCGGCCGCAGGCCGCGCGCGAGGTGCGCGCAGTGGGGGTGCTTGCGGGGGCGGCCTTCCAGGAAGGCGGGCGGGGCCGTCTGAGATGGGGCCGTCTGAGATGGACGAGGAACAACAAAACATAGTCAAACAAATATTCCAAAATCGTTTAAAGATAATAGAAATAGTCCCCAGACTATTGTTAACTAGAATATTCTTCCTGTAGAGGGACAGGCCCGACTTAACCTGAGTGGGAACCTACCCTGGCCAATGTCGCAGACGGGCTGACGGTGTTCTTCGTGACGGCATGGCCGTTCCGCGGCTTTCCAGTTCGGTCAGGCTGGTGTGTGCGTGTGGCTAAACCAACCATGCAGGGAAGTGTGGTTCGCGATGTACCACAATCATGCGTCTTGTCGGTTTCGCTCGAGACGTTCGCACATCTGACACGCAGGGGAGTGGGGCTCGGGTTGTCCTACAAATTGTTGTTGGCGCGCTGAGTGTCGCGGGCACCAGATTCCACTTCGCAGCGCGAGCCGGCCACATCGCCACCCTCACTCCTGGATCTGGTTCTCAAAGGCCTGGATGGCCTCTGAGGGGCACGGCTCCGGTTCGCCAGAGTCTCGGTTCGCCAGGGATCGGTTCGCCGGGGTTTGGTTCGCCGGGGCTCGTTTCGCTGGGGCTTGGGGCTTGGTTCACTCGGCTCGTTTTGCCAGGTTTTGCTTCGGCGAGGCTCGCTTCGCCGGGCGCGTGGACGATGCAGATGATGGTGATGATGATGATGATGATGATGATGATGATGATGATGATGATGATGATGATGATGATGATGATGATGATGATGCTGTTGATGGTGATGGTGATGATGATGATGATGATGATGATGATGATGATGATGATGATGATGCTGATGCTGATGCTGATGCTGATGCTGATGCTGATGCTGATGCTGATGCTGGTGCTGGTGCTGGTGCTGGTGCTGGTGCTGGTGCTGGTGCTGGTGCTGCTGATGTTGATGATGATACTGGCGATGAGGATGCTGTTGATGCTGATGATGCTGATGATGATGCCGATTTTGATGATGATGATGCTGATGACGATGATGCTGATGGTGGTCATGATGATAGGGGTAATGACGGTGATGATAGTGATAGTGATGGTGATGGTGATGGTGATGATGATAAGAAGGAGGAGGAGGAGGAGGAGGAGGAGGAGGAGGAGGAGGAGGGGGATGAGGAGGGAGGAGAGGAGGAGGAGGAGGGGGGAGGAGATGAGAGAGGAGGAGGGGGAGGAGGAGGAGGAGGAGGAGGAGGAGGAGGGAGTATGATTACGACCAGATGAAAGAGTCAACATGCCAACATGTCGTTTGAGGACACACTGTGGCATTAATGATTGGCGCAGGAGGAGGAGAGGAGGAGGAGGAGGAGGAGGGAGGAGATGCGGGGGAATGGAGACCGCGCTCAGAGCATGCAGCGCTTGTGCGCCAGTGCCAGATGTGGGCGCAGCGACGAGGAAGTCCTATACAGTCCGAAGTCGACACTCGTGAGGGAGGACAACAAAACACTCTGACCCCCAGCCCCATCACTCGGAAGGGGACCGTTCCAGGCAGTAGCGGCCCTCCCCAGCGTTCTCTGCTTTCTGTGGGAGGAGGGAGGAGGGATGAGGAGGAGGAGGAGGGAGGGGGGGGAGGGAGGAGGGAGGAGGGAGGAGGGAGGAGGGAGGAGGGAGGAGACGACGACGACGACGATGACGACGACGACGAGCCAAGTGGAGGCCTCCCGTAGTCACGGCTAGATCCGCCTCGAAGAACGGGTCAGGATGAACCCCAGGCGGGGTCCAGGGACAGACTTCCGCTGGACCTGGGAGGAGAAGCCGCCCCGTTGTCGATCCGATCGATGTCGATGGCGATTTCGGGCGGCCCGATCCGGTTCCATTTCTGCGTTCCGACGATCCACTTCGACTAGATTTTTGCGTGGCGTTGGTGTGAATCTGGGCGCGGCCGATTCGAATCGATTTTGACTCCGTGCCAATGCAGCTCGATTCGGCTTACATTTGATTCATCCGACGTCCCGATTCGATGATGGCCGACCCTGATGATTGGCATGTGCGAGACAGTCATGGGCAGTTGTGGGACAGTTCTGGCCTGTTCGATTCCTTCCTGAAGTGCGTTTCCTAAATGGCTGCGCTTTTACGAGTGCTTACCCTCTAAAGGTCTTTTGTTTTGGTCCGACCCCCCTTCTCTCTCGGCGGTGAATATAGGACTGGTCCTAAAACTGGTACCTACTCTTCCTCCTGCTCCTCCTCATCTTCCGTCTCCTCCTCCTCCTCCTATTCCTCCTCCTTCCCCCTCTCCCCCTCTCCTTCTCTTCCTCCTCCTCCTCGTGCTCATTCTCTTCCCTTCCTTGCCATTATCCCGCTCCTCCTCGCGTCATTACCAAGGAGGGTGAAAACGAGGAGGAGGAGGAGGAAGAGGAGGAGGAGGAGTCGCAATCGTAGTCGTAGCTGTCGTCGTCGTTGTTGCGCGGCGGGTGTCGCGGAACATAATAATTATCTACCGCCATATTGGTGGCACCCCAATCTTGTAACAAGGCCGCCGAACAATATCATCAGTTTCCCCTTATTTAATCGCTTCGCTCTTGCCGCCGGCCCTGGAACCCTCTTTAGGGCCTCTTGGGGGCCTCTTCGGGACCTCTTGGGAGTCTCTTGGGGCTCCTTGGCGGCGTTTTGGAGGCCCCCAGGGCCTCTTGGGGGGCTCTTGGGGGTAGTCGATTGCGGCTCCCCCCTCGGAGGCCACGATCCTCGTGAGGGGTGTCGAAAAATACCCTCCCCTGGAGTGGTCTGGTGGCTTCTCCCGGGCTTCTCTCGGGACCTTGCCGGGGTACTTTTCGTCCGGGGGCCCCCAGGGGCCGCTCCGCGCGCGCGAACTAGAAATATTGTTAACAAGTTACCGGAGATCTTAGCACGCCTCTGGCCCGTTGGGCCGCCGAACAATATCATCGGTTCCCCCTTAGTGGGGGGAGGGGACCCTAAAGACATTTCGGGGTGATTATGAGGGTGGCCCTGCTCTATAAACACGGCACCGTCAGATGCCTCTGACTCTTTGGGGGGGGGTCCCTGGTCTGCGACTACCTCTGCGGGTCCCATTCACGCCGGGGTTTCGGACGCTCCCGCTGGGGCTCACTTGGCTGCAGACATCCTTCTTGCTCTGCACCTCGGCCGGTGCTTCAGGATCCTGACATGCAGGGGTATACAGGGCTCACATGTGGCTGCCCAGATGGAGCTCCTGGAGTGCTGTGCAGCGGTCTCAGGGCAGGCTGCTCTGCAACCCCGGTGTGCTGCTCTCGTCGCGCTCGAGGGAAGGGCAGCGTGGACGGGGGGGTGTCCCCTCGAGAGGCTCCCGCCGAGCCTGGGCCCCCAGGGGCCGCTTGGGTCGGCAGAGCAGCAGAGGGTCCAGCAGCGCCCAGGAGGCAGGAGTGCCCTCGGGATGGGCCTGGCAGCAGGCAGAGCGACCAGCATGCCCCCGAGGGTGCGT